GCTCCTGCCGTTAATTCCTGAGCAACTCTATCTCAACAGACTACTTACACTCTTCATGACCTATTGTCTGAAATTACCTTGCTTGTGGATGTGGATTTGCTTGCTTTTTTTTGCTTGCTGTCTTGTGCACTGGAAGTTGTGAACTCCATAATTCCATGGACCTTGTCTATGTTGTCAAGTCTGCTTTTAGTTCCTTAAATAAAATGTGGCAGATAAAAGAAATTCAACAAATATTTACTAAATGGAAGAATTAATGAGCCCAGGGAAGTGGTTATATTAGCAAAAGTCAGAGCCAGAATAAAATTCTAAGGTGAAAATTGCCTTACATGCATGGACAAAGTCTGTTCCTTAAAGATTTGACATCAAGAGAAAAGCAGGAAGTGTGAATCAGAAGCAGACTTTTAGTAGTATTAAATAAATTGTTATTATATATTGTTTGTTTGTTGTGGTGCTTAGGGCCTAACCCCATGTTTCACACATTAGATAAGCACTCTATCTCTGAGTTATACCCTCAGTCAATGACATTATACATTGTACATTCTTAGAATTCTGTTTCTTAGGAAAGGAGAGTAATGGAGTGAAACTACACAATGAGGCGTGGTAAGCAACTGAATATGCACTGAAGGAGAAGGGGGAATCTCTGCTCCTCTTTTTGTTTCTGAACTAAGGATAGAGGGAGTGTTAATTGGCTTAAAAAACAATGGGAGATAAGGGATCCATTTTGGAGTCTAATTCTGATGGTTCTATCTAGGGGAAGATATTTAGAATATGCCCTTTGGCATATAGGTCTGTAAGCTTAGGTGGGGTGTTGGGAAAAAAATTGACAGTAGGACAGACAGGAAAGCATCAACAAGTTTCTAAGAGGAAGTGGCACAGGAAATTTGACTAATGAAGTAGGGGGACATTGAGAGGAAAGTGTTTTAGTAAGAGGAAGGGGTAGTCACAATATCAAACGCTACAGGCAGGTGTTATGATTTGAATCTGGACTGTTCTCTGCAGGCTCATCTTTTGAATGCTCATTCCTGAGCTGGTGCCAGACTGTGCAACCTTCAGGAGGTGGGGACTATCTAGAAGAAGTCACTGGGATGGGTCCTTGGGGCTGTTATCTCTGTGTACTTCCTGTCTTGCTCTCTACCTTGTGGTTTGCTATAATGTGAATATAATGTCCCCCACCACCATAAGTTGTTTCTGTCAAGTGTTGTAGTTTCAGTCACACAAAGGTAAATTTGGTTAATCTTTGGTTTCAACTTGACTGAATCAGGGATCAATTAACATGTCTCTGGGAAGGTCTGTGAGGGTACTTCCTGGAGAGTAAAAACTAGGGAGTCGATCCTCCCTAAGAGGGCAGGACCTTTTGGCAGCTGCCCAGATATAAAGAGGTCTGAGAGAAAAGCTGTTGTGTTTTTGCCTGCCTGCTTCCTGCCTTGCTGATGAGTGCATCTATGGTTGGTGCCACTGCTGCTGCCACTGCCATCAGAACCTAGCTTCTTTGGCCTTCTAATATGGACTCTTTAGGAATCATCTAGACTTTCAGTGCCAGACTGAGACTGCTGAGGCATCCAGCCTCATAGTCTAAGCAGCCCATGGGGTTCTTAGCCTCTCCAGAGTACAGAGAGCCATTGTTGGACTATTCATTCCTTATTGTGTCATACAATCTAATAAATCCTTTTTGTTATCTATATTCATTCTGTTCCTAAAGAGAACCCTGACTAATATAGTAACTAAAACAGAAGGAGAGAAAAAGGGCTTTGGGTTTACTAGCAAAGAGGTTGTTGATGTCTTTGCAATCTGTAAGATAGTTCCAGCGATGGACTCCTGAGCAGAGAGTGAAGGGTAACTGGGAGGTGAAGGAGTGGATGCAAAAATAATATTACAGAAGATGTGAGGTTCTGGGAAACCTCCTCATTAAAAAATTAAAGATAAGCTGCAAGGACTGGGGAAATAGGTCAGTGAGTAAAGTGTTTGCTTCAGAAGATTGAGGATGCCAATTCAGATCCCTAGCTCTCATATGAAAAGCAGGCATGGAGTTGTGCACCTGTAATCCCAGTACTGGAAGGTGGGGACAGGAGGATCTCAAGACCTTGCTGGCCATCCGTCTAGTCAGTCAGGCTCAATGAGAGACCTTGTCTTAAAAAGTAAGGTGGACAATGATAGAGGAAGATGCCCAACATCAAACGCTGGTCTTCATATACATGCATAGGTATGTGAACCCCTGCATATACATATATGCATGTATACATGCATACAGCACACACACACACACACACTCACACCTATATATCCTACACACAAAAAGATAAGCTATAGGTAAGGAGCAGGTGAGCAGGCTGTAGGAAATGTACTAAATTGGAGAAGAGATAGGGAAGCATAGGAGGGAGAGGTCATAATGTCCTGAAAGAGACTGAAGGAGTATTCTGACAGAGTGCTGAGGTAGATATCTTTTCTCCTGAGACTGGAACATGGGTGTCAACTGGGAAGAGGCAGGAAGCAGTGGTTACACTGACTTTGAAGTTCCACGTCACCGAAGAGGAATCTTCAAGTTACTAGCTGAGCAATCTTGAGTAAGTAAGCTTTTTTTGAATCATAAGTTTTACAAATAATTTGAGAAGAATAAGTAGCTTTCAAGGCCATTGTGGGAATTGGTAAAAATTCACTCAAATGTGTGACAGTGTGTGAACTGTGGGAATTGGGTCAGATTTCTGAGCTTCCTGCCCCTCTAGTGAGGGCTGGAATCTGCTCTCGAAGGACTATGCCACAGTGTAATCCTTTCCCTGGAATTCAGCTACATCTGTTAAACAGGCACACCTGGTCAACCCCTGCACGCGTTCTAGGCCTTTTCACATTGAAATGTAGGACCCTGATGCCAAACACTGAAGAAAAGCTCAAACTACAAAAAAATATTTCACTACTCATGACTTGACTACAGCAGATGGCAAAATCTCATGAGGAACCACTGTATGGATGCTGACTAATCTCAGCTCTTATGAAAATATTTGCTATGCCCTATTACACACAAGCTCCCGGTGTGATGGGAAGTAGTGGTTGAAACTGGCAGGGAAGGAGGGACTGGAGAGGGTGCATTGTGTTTTCAGTCTTTCCTATGGAAGTTATTTTCATAGTTAAATTTAAAAATGCTTATATCAATAGACATATAATTGTTATAAAGCAGGTGGTAGCTGGCCTGAGTGGGCACTGAGGGTTAGGTGTGCTCTCTGTGCTACAGATCCTGCAATCTCACCTTATCATTTTTGTACTTTCAGCCTGGAAATAGTTTGTGAGAACTGCAGATTCTCCACACACATCTCTTATCTCTGCACTTCAGTAAAGATTACGAGATGCCTTGAAAAGGTTGCCTATCTTTTTGTGTCAGGATGAAGCTGGTGTCTGAAATGGTCTCAGAGTAGAAGAAAACTGATAATATTAATAAGACTATTTTTTTTTCTATATTTGTTTATTTTTTAGTCATTTCCTTTGAACATTTAGCAAGAGTCTTGACATCTTGGCCTTTCTCAGATACTGCTCAAAGAATTAGCAGGAGTGTGATTTTTCTTCCTTACTTAGCCCCCTCATGAAATGTGAGTAAGGCAGCTGTGGGAAAAACAGTATGTTGGTGAGAGAAGAGCTTGGACTGAGGCAGGTCTCAGCGACAAATTATACTGAATGGTACAGGGCTGGAAAGTTGTTCTCTGGATGACTTGTCCAGAGTCTAGCTCAGTCCCTAAACTCAAAGGCTCTTGCATTTCTTCAGTTGAGGAAATTAAACAGTAATGCCTTATTTACCACATTTCATTTTAGACTCTTTTCTTTGAATTTATACTGGGCTTAATGCAAGCCATGCATCTTTATACATCTCACTTATATTTCTTTGTTTCATGTAAATGAATTTTCTCACACTTCATATGTTCCTTAAAGGTGATGAATGTGGCCTTTATTTATTGTGTGTCATCCTCTTTCCAGTGCTCAGTGTGGCTCAGGGAACCTGACTGGTGCTATAAACAGTTGAATCACCCACATTGCATGGGACATCCCTTCTGGTCCTAGAGGACTCAAGGTAGCAGCCATATTAGATTATTTAGAATGCTTTGAGGTCATTAAGATCGTGGCAAGCTCCATCCAGTGTGACATGAAGGTCATGATCATTGCTCTTAGTAGTTATGTTCAGGTAGGATTGCCATATTCTGTGGAAAGCTGGTTTAGGGTTAATAACACTGCCATCTATTTTCATGTAGCTCTTTGCAATTTGGGACGTAGTTAATAACATATTACTCATTTTAGTGTCACCAAAGCCTGCACACTGGTTAGGGCAAAGTCCTTCTTCCAAACAAGAAAATTGGAGTGCACAGAGATAAAGGGCTATGTGTAAGTTTACAAAATTGGTGAGTGGCAGATCTGGTGTTGGAACCCAGCCTTTCTGCATCCAAAAGCAGTGTGCTTCCCTCATGCTATACTGGCTTAATAGATTTTTTATACAAAATAAAATACTCTGTGACAAGGGGAAAGTACAGATGTGGATTTTTACGAGATGTGGAAATAACAATACAGAGTGTGATGTATCTCAAGTTCATTTGCCTAAAACAGCTTGCTTACCTGGCCTCTGTTCTGCTACTGCCCTTCCAGAGTATGGGAAAAGCAACGGAATGAGAAGTGGGGCAAGAATCCTCCCTCTGTAGTTAGAAGAAAGGGTTAAAAATGTGGCCCTTTAAAGGTTTAATGTAGAGACAGAAATTCTGAATTACTTAAATTAAAAAAAAAATCAGGCTAAAAGGCTATATATCCTCCCAAATGCCTTTTTTAGTGTCTCTGGAAAAATTAATGGGTGTGTGTCTGGGGGAAGGGTTAGGGAGGGGAAGACCAGACTTTTTCTTTCTTTAAAAAAACACTAAAGGAAAGAGAAATAAAAGTTTGTTTCTGTTGCTCAGCTCCATCTGTGTTTTAAAACCTACACGAAATAGGGAAAACTTAAGGCACAGAGGCGCGTGCTCTGATTTGGTTGTTTACCATCAATCAGACCGTTGCTTGGCAGACACTGGATGGTTATGAGCCTGAACAAGCTGAAAGGGGCAGGAAAAGAAGTGGAGGCAAGCATTCTTCCTATTTAAAGCTGCATCACTTGAAAAAAGTTTTCGCAGACTGTGCTGGAGCTGGTGCTGAAACAGGGGGTTTGCTGAGGCTGCCCCGGGGTTGGTGCTGAAACAAGAGCCCCCAGCGGACTTCATGGTGCTACAGTGACTTCAGACTCTACTCTTTACTCCCGGGAGGACCCACATGTCTCATATTTAGACATAATGGCAAACTGGGTGGCAGCAAGACCTCTCCTCATTTTCACTATTTTATTAGGGCAATGTGTCTCAATAAAAGCCCAGGAACAAGAAGAGAACGGTGAGTTTGCCTTTTGCTTTGCTTTTGGTGTTTATGGCTTGGTTTGGTAACTAGTGGAATGTTAAACTTCAGGATTCAGTGAAGAGGAGTCTCTGGTTTGAAGTTTGAGAAGGATCTATAGGATTTGCACCTGGGAAACAGCTTGGTTCGGTGGACAAGAGAGATGTCTGCAAATCCGGAGCTTCAGGGTCTGCCCTTGCAGAGTGGGCTGCTACCTTTCTGGAAGAGACAAAAATCAGATCAGTTCTTTTGCCTGTGAGAGTGGGAAGTTGAAAAGGAAAGAAGGGTGCTTAAAACGGAGCCCTGAAGGCACTTTTAGTTAGAGGAGGTCTGTTGTGTGGGCTGGAGCTTTCCGAGCAAGGCAAAACCGCTGCACAAGCTGGGCAGGGTGGAGTCTTTCCTGAACGAACTTCAGTCTTTGTTTAAAAAATCTCTGCAGCAACTCTGATAGCTCTGATTTTTCTTTGTCTATGCTCTTCATTCTTTTCTCTCCACAGACTCAGACTTCCCAACCCCCCAAATGTTTTCATTTGCGATCTTAAAACCGCTCTTCCTTACTGAAAGGGAGTCAAGTTTATTTCTCCATGACAGAGGCTGATAGAAGCCAGATTTCTTAAAGCTTGGTATTTTCCCACCCTACTGGCTGGATTATCAGGACAGTGGTGGTTCCCAGTTGGATGGCAGAAGGCAGGAAATCAGCACGCCTTATGTATAACTAACTCATTTGGCATGGAGTTATTTGCAAGAGCATTTTCCCTTAGATACACATTCTTCTTTCGTTTCCTTTTCAGGCAATTCTTGTTTGGTTACCGATTTTTTTTCCCCTATGTGATTTATATATGTTAGGGTTGGGTCGTATAGTTAAGCAAAACTGCACAGATGCTATAGAATATTTAAAAATATTTAAACTGGCTCCACTGATTCTTAAATCCTTACTTTAAGAGGGCTGAAATTTCAGACACAGACATGTACTCTTTTTAATAGGCCAATATCGATTTGAGTAACTGTTAGTGTTAAACTCTTAAAACTTAGCACACTTGTTAATCATTTCTATTATGGTCTTTCTTATCTTTATGCATTTATTATCTACCTGTCTGTGTTTTTCCTTTAAAGATGTTTACAAACTATATCCAGGCAGGACTGTAAGTTCTGAAAACCCTTAAAGAAGAAAAGAAGATTCTGGAGATGAATAGCCAGTCTGTCAGGAATCCCATAGAGGGGGCACTTTCTAAAATCTTGGAACTTTTAATGTCACTTTCTAAGGTTTGAAGAGTAAGGCAATTTATAAAAGGCAAAACCTCTTGAGTTTCTTCATAATGGCATGAAATGTATGTGTTGTTTGATGGAAAGGAAGTTAGTTAAATACAAAGAGGAAATTAGGAAAAGGGAAAGCAAACAGAAATTACAATAGAAACAGGAAATCTGATTCTAAAAGAATCTGCTCACTCCCCTTCCCCACCAACAGGGTGAACTTTAATGTAAAAATTTCAATACAGCTTTTGTTCGTCATGTATATCAAAAGTAGGCAGTTAACTTTTATAAAGTGTGGATATAATTGAATATATAAGTAAATGAAAGAAGTTTGAAGGCTTCTAAGATAGGCCATATACTGAAAGACTTAGAAGTCATTTTATTTATTTTGTGTCTGAACAATAAAATGTTATTTTCTTAATATTAATGTACAGGATGTGATAAATTAATAAACTATATCTTTATTTAAGGGATATAGGAAATGATTCAAGAATCTAGTATAGTCAGAGCTTCCTGCTGGCCATGTGTGTGCTGCTTTACGCTGATACTGTGTGGATGCTTGCAATACTTGATTTTCCTGTTCAAGCATGTCACAAGCTTAATAAAACCATCAGAATGTGGTACTTCCACGTAGCTTCTGAATTTGAGGAAGAGTAGCCTAGCGAAATCCTTCAGACTAAAGAAAAATCAAAAGGATATATGCCAAGAAAATATGATTTTGAAATTGTAACTATAACTAACATATACTGTAATAGTCCCTTTGTGTTCAAATATGTCTGCTTGGATTTGTTTTCTAGAAACCTGTCATATTATGTGAGTATGTACTTATAAGTTTTGTTTTTTCTTTTGTTAGTTTAAGATGTAGTTCTTTTTTGGACTGTGTGATGTAAAACACGAGTACAGTGCCAGCCCGACAGGAATACATATAGATGATAAGAGCCAAGTAAATAAAGATTTAGATATTTCTGGCCAAAAATAGAACTATTTTCACACTACAGTTTAAGAACTGATTTGATTTTTTAAAACTTTGTTAGAAACTAAAAAAGAAAGAGTTTGAGAGTTGGGGTTAGCTGAAAATGTAACTGAAAATCAGAGCCAAGATGCCAAAATCAGTTTTAAAGAGCTCTGCCTCTCTCTCTCTCTCTCTTCTCTCTCTCTCTCTTTCTCTCTTTCTCTTTTTCTCTCTCTTTCTCTGGTGTGTATTGTGTGTGTAGGGGTTTTTGGAATGTTCTACATTTGTTTTCTGTAAGAGAGAAAACTAGAATACTAGAGCATTTATAGTAAAATTTATATTCCTAAATAAAAATCTAAAGTCTAGGGAGCTGTGCACATTTTTTGTTATTCGAAGTAAACATTTTTAATCATAGGAAATAATCTTTGGTATGAATTTTCGTATTCAACACCATGTGGGCAATGGGGAGAAGAGAAGGTGCAGAAAAGTACCATTTTATTTTGAGGTACTTACTGCAAATGTCAGTGCTTCCAGAAGTCAGACAGATAACAAATGGGGAAGCAGGAGAGTTTTGTGTATCAGCAGGGGATGATGGGACTTGTGGAGAGATGAAAAAGATGCATGCCCACTTTAAGCTTTCAAAATTAACATTTTTCAGAAAGCATTGCATAAGCCAAATAAAATATGTCTGAGGGCCAAATGTAGCTCATGGACCATAAACTTGCAACACCCATGTTGCAACCCTGCACTGATATGTTGGTCCCAAGCCAACTTCTGATTAGTAAGAGAAACAGGGCTCACGGTCCTTTTAATATTATGGTCTCTTGCATTTTTATCATGTTACAGCTCTCATTTATCTTGCAAAAATACAAATGGGAAGATGTGTAATAGTTTAAAGAATTTGTATAATTTCAAAGGAGGCACAGAATATGTAATATGTAGCTTAGAGTATTTATATACATTAGTAGTTTCAAACTCATTACTATTAAAATAGGTACTGTGGATTATTTAGGTATCTAAGTTTTTCTTTTATAATGTTTCATATAGCAGAATGCAGTTTAAACCAAAAACACTTGTAACAGAAGCTTTTTTCTTATGAAAGAGAAGCTTCCAAGTAGACAGTGAAGTATGGGTATATATATAAAAAAAGTCAGGGACTCAAACTTTTTCTCTCTTTATTCTTTTATCCCTAGGGCATGGTCTTTGGCTTTACAGTCCTAGATGGCTGCCAGAGCTCCAGGTGTTACATGTACTTTCTAAGCACCAGGATAGAGAAGGAGAGAAAAAAACTGACTTTGCTCTTCTTAAATGGAAACATTTATGTCTTTAAACTATTTAATTTTACTTATGGTTGACCAGAAATTAGTTATATGGTCACACAAAGCTGTAAGGGAGGGTAGGAGATGTAGATTTTAAATGGGAGGTTCTGCTAAGCTGCTATACAAAATAGAGTTCTGTTATGGAGGACAAAGAAAGAATGCCTTCAGTGGATAAACAGAGTGACCAGATTCACTCTGGGTGTTGTTCATTTCTGAGTAGAGCTCAAAATCAAAAACACTGGCTTGCCTTCCTACTTTCCATCAATAAATATTACATCTATGCTGCTAACAACTTTTATAAAACACAGTGAAACTTTACTTTGAACAGTCTATCTCTCTATATGGGAGGTTATTTTGTATTAATGGCAGGTTGGTATCTGTCTCTACATGGGAAGTCATGCAGCACTTATAAACTTATGGGATGTAGGTACAGTGTTTTCTATGTGGGAAGTCATATGCTTATGAGAGGTTAGTACAGTCTGTATCTCTCTACATGGGAGGCTATGTAGTATGTATCAGAGGTTGATCAAGTTTGTCTCTCTTACATTGGTGGTTATGTAGTTCTTATGCCAGGTTGGTAGACTTTCTCTACATGGCAGTTCATATAGTACTTATGGGAGAGTGATATAGTTAATCTCTCTCTACACAGGAGGTTATGAAGTATATATCAGGGGTTGATAAAGTAAGTCTCTCTCTACATGGGATGTTAGGACATCCTTTATATTGACAAATACAGTGTGTGCTTCCATTATTTCTTAGCTTAGGTGGTAACCAGTCTGCTTTGATTACATTAAAATTTATCTGAAGACCTTGTTACTAATATGGATTTTAAGTTTCCTTCCTTTTAAAATACTTATTTATTTTCGAATTTTTGTTTTTGAGAATTTCATACATGAGAATTGTATTTGCATTATTTTCATCTTTTCCAGTCCCCCTCCAGCTCCTCCCATGTTCCCTCCAACTCCATCTCTATTCCATGCCTTCTTCTTTGAATATTATTGTTATATATACCTACATACATTATAAACACACCCCATTCCATATATATTCACACACACAAATATATATATAATGCACAGAGTAGATTTAGCGGTGCTTATGCATACCTGTGGTTAGGGATGCCCAATTGGGATTAGATAACCTCTCAAGGAGCTAGTTCCTGGAGGGAATTGATTCTTCCACCCTCAGCATCTATTGATTGGCTGTAGCTCTTTAACTTGAGAGAGACCCTGTGAAATTTCCCCCATCCATCTTGGCATGTGAACTGGTTTTGTCATTATGCAGATCTTGTTAGGCTAATATACTATAGAAATTTTCATGGGTACATCTCCCCTATCATGTCTAGAATGCATTAACTAGCAGTAGGTGCCTTATCCCTATGGCTCTTACATTCTTTCTGCCCCCTGTTTACAGATTAAACTTTACTTCTGAGACAGGGTCTCTCATTATAGTTGGAATTTACCATATTGGCTAGACTA